AGAAAAGAAAAGAAAAGAAAAGAAAAGAAAAGAAAAGAAAAGAAAAGGAAAGGAAAGGAATGATCTTGTCAGGGGTCATGTGGCTACTAAGTAATGAATGCCCAAGATTTTAACCCTGGTCTATCTGCCCTCAAAACTCATGCTCCTTCTGCCTTACAAAAATGATGGGGGTGCAGGGGAAGTTATGTGGCACCCATCCTAGCGTCACTCTGAAAAAAATTGGAAACATCCTAAAAAATACAAAAATTGAGGATGGTTACGTGATTTATAGTGAGTGTAGACAGTAGACTATTGCAGTGACTAATAATGATGCAAGGGGCTGGGTGTGATGGCTCATGCCTATAATCCTAGCATTTTGGGAGGCCAAGGTGGGTGGATCACCTGAGGTCAGGAGTTTGAAACCAACCTGGCCAACATGGTGAAACCGTCTCTAACAAAAATACAAAAACAATTAGCCAGGCATGGTAGTGGGCGCCTGCAATCCTAACTACTCGGGAGGCTGAGGCAGGAGAATTGCTTGAACCCAGGAGGCGGAGATTGCAGTGAGCAGAGATCGCGCCACTGTACTCCAGCCTGGGTGACAGAGTGAGACTCTCTCAAAAAAACAAACAAAACAAAACAAAACACAAGAAGTTTTGTGCTGTGGCAGTATCATAGCCAATGATTATTATCCAAGGCATGATTATTGCTAATTGAAAACTTTCCCCAATACTCCACCGTGACAACTTGCAACATAGTGAGCATTGGCAATTTTTTTTTTTTTTTTTTTTTTTTTTTTTTTTGAGACAGAGTGTTGCTCTTGTTGCCCAGGTTGGAGTGCAATGGTACAATCTCGGCTCACTGCAACCTCCATCTCCTGGTTCAAGTGATTCTCCTGTCTCAGCCTCCTGAGCAGCTGAGATTATAGGCACGTGCCACCATGCCTGGCTAATTTTTGTATTTTTGCAGAAATGGAGTTTCACTATGTTGACCAGGCTGGTCTCAAACTCTTGACCTCAAATAATCGGCCTGCCTTGACCTCCCAAAGTGTTGGGATTACAGGCGTGAGCCACTGCGCCTGTCCAGATGGCTGTTCTTTAGTACCTCTCTAAACCTGGAGACTCACCTGCTTCTAAGCCGTAGTAACCTTTCCTGCCCAAGCAAACACTGGCTATTATTCTCATCTACTTCTGTGCCTGTCTGCTAATGCCATGCTCCAATCTGGAGCTGCTCTGTTCAATATGGTAGCCATTGCCACGTGTGGATATCTAAATGTCAATTAATTTAAATAAATAAATAATTCAGTGCCTCAGTTCCACTAGTCCTTTTCCAAATGCTCAGTGGTCACATGTAGCTTGTGGTTACTCTGGTAGACAACAGAGATATAAATATTTCCATCAGAGAAGGAAGTTCTATGAGGCCGCAATGTTCTAGCGTCTAGGCTGAAGACCGTTTTTAGAATTCTAACTGAATGAAAGATTCCCCAGTTCCTTGTCATCAGTGGAGGGACTGGACATTGACCTTTCCATTGTGAGATTTGACGCTCTCATCCCTTCTCTGCTCTCTGGAAAGCTCAAGGGTCAGGGAAAATTAAGTATGGCCCTTCCCACTAAAAGGTAGGTCTCCCAATTATAGCTTTTTAGAGGAGCTTTACAGAGCAAAGGTTGATCAGGCAGGGTGGAACAGTGAGGAAGGTTAATTAGAGTAGTGCTTTTTATTATAAAGGTTATCGACAGAAGCCACTTACTGATGTCTACTCTGTGCCAAGCACTCTATTTTATCTCAGTTAATCTTCAAAGAAGTAAAGAAACTTACCCAACTCCATGAGCCAGAATCCATAGCTCCAGTTAGCAAAGCTCATGCTTCCTCTATTATATTAACTTGCCTCCTGGGAGATTCCCAGTCTCATAGAAGGATTCTGATTGGCCCTTCTTGAATAACAAGCCTATCCGTAGGACCAGCCATATTGGATGAAAAGTTTGGCTACTATGACTGGTCTGTCCCAGGTCATTGTCCACCACCGTACTGGTAGACAGTGACTCAGGAAACTTACAATCTTGAAGAACAGTGGAGGTCCAAGTGTGAGCATCAACAATAGCATAAAAAGCACACAACAATAGCATAAAAAAATTACAGGCTTGGTGACTGACACCTGTAATTCTAGCACTTTGAGAGGTCAAGGCAGGTGGATTGTTGGAGTCCAGGAGACCAACAGGAGATTTGGGTGGGGATGGACTCTAGCGATCCACCTGCCTTGGCCTCCTAAAGTGCTAGGATTACAGGTGTGAGCCACCAAGCCCAGCCTCATGTGCTTTTTATGTGCACTATTGGTTGATGTTCACACTTGTACCTCCATTGTTTTTCAAGATTGTAAATTTCAGTTCCCCTTAGAACCACCTAAGATCAGGCCAGGCACGGTGGCTCACGCCTGTAATCCCAGCACTTTGGGAGGCCAAGGCAGGCAGATCATGAGGTCAGGAGTTCAAGACTGGCATGACCAACATAGTGAAACCCCGTCTCTACTAAAAATACAAAAATTACCCGGGTGTGGTGGTAGTCTCCTGTAATCACAGCTACTCGGGAGGCTGAGGCAGGAGAATTGCTTGAACCGAGGAGGCGGAGGTTGCAGTGAGTCGAGATCGTGCCATTGCACTCCAGCCTGGGTGACAGAGCAAGACTCTGTCTCAAAAAAAAAAAAGAACCACCTAAGATCAGAGAAAGGCAGTCACCAAGTAAAAGGATAGGACAGACAGAAACTACTATTAACTGAATTAATTCTGTCGGTATAATTCCCACGGGACATACCCACGTGCTGATCTCATTAGTTGATATGGTTTGGCTGTGTCCTCCCCCAAATCTCATGTTGCATTGTCATCCCCACGTGTCAGGGGAGGGACCTGGTAGGAGGTGATTGGATCGTGGTGGTGGAATTCCCCCTTGCTGTTCTTGTGATAGTGGATGAATTCTTATGAGATCTGAGTTTTAAAAGTGTATGGCCCTTTTCCCTTTGTTCTGTCTGTTCTGCCATCATGCAAAGAGGGTCCTTGCTTCCCCTTCGCCTTCTGCCATGATTGTAAGTTTCCTGAGGCCTCCAAGCCATGATTCCTGTTAAGCCTGCAGAGCTGTGAGTCAATGAAACCCCTTTTCTTCATAAATTACCCAGTCTCAAGTGCTGCTTTACAGCAGTGTGAAAATGGACTAATACATTAATTTTCCAAGTTATCTCAACGAGAACAATAATAACAATTACTACTACCTTTTATTCAGGGCCTAGGTACTGTGGCATGTGCTTTTTTTTTTTTTTTTTTTTCTTGTGAAATAGGGTCTCGCTCTGTCACCCAGGCTGGAGTGCAGTGGTACAATTATGGCTCACTACAGCCTCGACCTCCCAGGCACAAACAGTCATCTCTCCTGAGTAGCTGGCACTACAGGCTGATGCCACCATGCCCGGCTACTTTTTGTATTTTTTGTAGAGATGCAGTTTCACCTTGTTGCTCAGGCTGGTCTTCAACTCCTGGAATCCAGCGATCCACCTGCCTCGGCCTCCTAAAGTGCTGGGATTACAGGCGTGAGCCACCGCGCCCGGCCGTATGTGCTTTTTACGTGCACAATTGTTGATGTTCGCACTTGTACCTCCACTGTTCTTCAATAACATAGGGCTTGTTTTCTTGCTTTGGGTAGAAATAGCAGATCGTGTTTCTTGAACACTCAGACTTGACCTTCCTAGGTTCTCTGTGGCCAGTTTCCCACAGCTGGCCCACCTCCTGAACTATGCTCTAGACTAATTCAAGTCACTCACGTATTAAACATCAAATCCTTTTCCCTGAAGCTGAAGCTCTCTCTTTGGGAGTTAAATAAATGAGACGTTCACGCACACGATTACTCAAAAGGTTGGGCGCGAAGGGGCCAATTCTTGTCGTTGTTGAGACAGAGTCTCGCTCTGTTAGCCAGGGTGGAGTGCAGTGGCGCAATCTCGGCTCACTGCAAGCTCCGCCTCCCGGGTTCACACTATTCTCCCGCCTCAGCCTCCCCAGTAGCTGGGACGCCTGGCTAATTTTTTGTATTTTTAGTAGAGACGGGGTTTCACCATGTTAGCCAGGATGGTCTCTATCTCCTGACCTTGTGATCTGCCCGTCTCAGCCTCCCAAAGTAGTGGGATTACAGGCGTGAGCTACTGTGCTCAGTATTTTTTTTTTTTTTCTTTTGAGACTGAGTCTTGCTCTGTCACCCAGGCTGGAGTATAGTGGCACGATTTTGGCTCACTGCAACCTCTGCCTCCTGGGTTCAAGCAATTCTCTGCCTCAGTCTCCTGAGGAGCTGGTATTACAGGCACCCACCACCACGCCCAGCTAATTTTTGTATTTTTGGTTTCATTATCTTGGCCAGGCTGGTCTTGAACTCCTGACCTCATGATTCACCCGCCTTGGCCTCCCAAAGTGCTAGGATTACAGGTGTGAGCCACCGCGCCCAGCCTGGGAATTCTGAAAAAGGACTTAGTCTCCGTTGTCTAGTCTGGGCACTGGATGGTTGACCAGAGACTGAACCGGATGCTTTCGAGAGGGCCCTGGAGAACTGAGAGGTCTGCGGTTCAATGGTCAGGGGAGAAGGAGGAATGTTCCCGGGCCTTGGCTTCTCCTTGGATTGAATTCAGTCTACACAAGGGCCGCTTGGGGCCCAAGTTGTCTAAGTAAACACTGATTCCTTGACAAGTTTCCAAAAGCGGGAACAGAGCAACTGTTTGGTTTGAACAAGCTGTGCTCTGTAAACCACCACTTGCATATGACCAGGGCCCCGTGTAAATATTTTAGCTACAGATGGAAAGAACATAACTTTTTTTGAAATCCCATCACTTCACTGCTAGACTTATAATGAATTATGTGTTGTCTCTATTTGCTGTTAGACCTAAAATGAATTATGTGTTATTTCTATTTGTTGGGAGGTCCAGTTCTCTAATTTAATTGTAGGCTGCTTAGCTGTGCCTCTGCTGAGACTGCTAGGGTTTGGGGGAAGCCCAGTAAAGAATATGCCACTTTTGGCCAGGCGCAGTGGCTCACGCCTATAATCCCAGCACTTTGGGAGGCCGAGGCAGGCGGATCACCTGAGGTCAGGAGTTCAAGACCAGCCTGGCCAACATGGTGAAACCCTGTCTCTACTAAAAAATACAAAAATTAGCTGGGCGTGGTGGCAGGAGCCTTAATCCCAGTTACTTGGGAGGCAGGGGCAGGAGAATTGTTTGAACCCGGGAGGCGGAGGTTGCAGTGCGCTGAGATTGAGCCACTGCACTCAAGCCTGGGGGACAAGAGAGAGAATTCTCTCAAAAAAAAAAAAAAAAAGGAACATGCCACTTTTTCCTGCTTGAATTTGGCACAAAATGAAGGGAAGACACAGGAACCAAGTAGGCGGGGATGACAATATCACTTGATTTCCAGTGAACTGATTTTGGAGAGATTTGGTTTGTTTTAGGTGTATGGCTAAAGAGCTGCTTCATCTTCTTCTTCTTCTTCTTCTTCCTTTTTTTTTTTTTTTTGAGACAGGATCTGGCTCTGCTGCCCAAGCTGGAGTGCAGTGGTATGATAATGGCGCACTGCAGCCTTGACCTCCCAGGCTCAACAGTCCTCCCATCTCAGCCTCCCAAGTAGCTTGGACCACAAGCACATGCCACCATGCCCAGCTAATTTTAAAAATTATTCTTGGTAGAGATGGTGTATTAGTTTGTTCTTGCACTGCTATAAAGAACTGCTGGGCCGGGCATGGTGGCTCACACATGTAATTCCAGCACTTTGGGAGGCCAAG